ATGGTAACCTAATTATGTCATATTAATGGATAGATATATTAACTTAAAAGAATCGGGAATACATGAATACAGTTTTACTATGGAGCCAACTGTTGGCTTCATAACAAAATCATAGATGAATAAATGCTTAACATTGTCAAAGGACACATTCATTAACATGTAAGATTGTATAGTATATCAATCTCGAATCAATAGAAATCTTCATTTATCCAACACGAGTATATTAAAATATAACGACGTGCCAAAACTCGTGATTTTTTTTTGTCGAGCACATTAACATATAACTACGCGCCATGTGTCAAGACTCGACATTTTTTTTTTATATTTTATATCAACTTGTATTATTTGGTGATCTCATCATATTAATTTGATAGAAATATTAAATTAGAAGAGTTGATAATACACGAATAAATGCCCCTAACATTGTCAAAAGGACACAATTCAATAATTAATCATATATGTAGCTGCTATGAATAAACTAAAGACCAAAATGTTAGAAAAAAATAAAATATTATAGGTACATCTCAACAACTCTTGTACTGCAATGTTAGAAAATTTTGCACATAATCCTTAGTAAAATTATCAAGCCGTTGAAAACATAAGGCAATAATAATCATCATCTTTATTTTTTTTTCTTTTTAATATACGAGGTAGAATCATATTGTATGTGAAATTAATATAATAATCAGACCTTATATTATAAGTTGGGTGATGACGTGGATGCTTCCTTTTCCATTCATCCAATCTATTTGTTCTCTCAATCTTATCCATATTACATACTTTTTCTTGTTCTATCTTTTATTTTATTTAAATTTTCATTAAATAATAATAATGTTATTATTATTATTATTATTATTATTATTATTATTATTATAATTATTATTATTATTATGTTGTATGAAATGACTTTGTATGGTTTATTTAATTTCCTCGGGGTGTTACTGTTATGCAGACATCAATAATTGGTGCTTTCAACGGTTCTATCTTTTCTTTGTAAGCTAGAAAAGAATCGATTATGGATGTGAAATTGTGAATATTTTTCTCAAGTTTGGTTTGGTCAAAAAAATGTTTTTTCTATTGAGATTGTTATTTGAGTCAAAATAGTTTCAAGAAATATAATATTTTTTGAAAATAAAAATCAATTATTTGCTTAACATATTCTTTACGAAGAAAAAAATTTATTTCTCTGGCTCATATATTTTTATGTTTTCAATCAACATTGTATTATTTTTAACATTGCAAAAACATGCTACCAAACTCATGTATTATACTTGTGTTGATTGAAATTTTAATATTTAAAAAAATAAAAAAAATAGAAATTTTAATTAAATTTTTAAATAATTTTTATTTTTATTTTTTAAAACAACACCTATTACCCACAAAATTAGCGCGTCATATTTTATAATAATTTTTCTAACTCGTATATCATATAATAATAGGCTTGACATATAAATTTAACTGATAATTATATTTTTACTATTTTAATCAGGATTAAACAATTTATAGGTGCATATATTTTTTTTTTATATGTGATCAAAGCGAAGATCGTTACAAGATTATTAATTTGATATATTACATATAAAAGATCCATAACAAAAAAAATATATTAAGTTTTAAAATATATTTATAACTTTTTAATAAAATATTTTATAATTTAAAAATCCTAATAAACATGGTTAACAATAAAAACTAAACATTTATATGGATGGATTTTATAATTTATCTTAAATAATTCAGAATAAAAAAATATTTTATTTTTCCACCTTTCCATTTCTCTTATCTGACGAGATAGAATTTTTCGAAAATAAAAAGCATATCTATTCTTTCTTGAACATATTCTTGCAAAAGACACTATATCTAAACTTGAAACACAACATCAAATATTATCTTAATTTTTCTAAAAATTATTTTTTCATATTAAATATTTCCCATTTTTTTCTGGAAAAATATCTTATATCACCCTTTTACAAGTTCCTTCGTATCCTACAAGCCTTTATAACAAAAAATTGTTCCCAATGATTCTTCTTCTTTTTTTTTAATATTTAATTATTATTTTCATTTATTTTTTTCCTTTATATTTTGTGGGGGTGGGTGGGGGTGGTGCCGTGGTGGTGTAGGGTGCCTTTACCAAACAAGATAATCCTAAACTAATAAACTCCTAGAAAATTCGATGATAACAAGATTCTGCAACTAGCTACTAAAAGAAATTTAAAAAATGACACAAATTGCACTATAAAAAACGAAAAGTTACAATAACATATTTGTCACTTGCATACTTTAATAAATATCCCTTCCTATATATTAATCCTTCCTATATATTAATTCAAAGCGTGTTAGAATCTAAGTAACAAATTCTCACGTTTCAAAAGTTGACATAACAAAATCTATGCTTAGTGATGTTGTTTTATATTATTTTTGCTCTGGAGTTAGATTTGTTATTACACATAAATAATTTTTATCATATATTTCTTAACTCAACACCCGTGTTGTACACAAATATTGTACATTGCAAAAAGCAAAAGTACAGAGTTTCGAGGAGATTAAGATGCGTACAATTGAATAAAAAGTCATGGTACATTTTAATATGAGCAAGGGCCACGTTAATTTGTTTATTCCAATTGTCGAGGATTGGTAAACCAAAACAATACGGGCTGCCATTCTTTTACGAGTGTTTCAACTATACATATATAGTATGAGAAATGCTACAGTCTCGTTACGGAACCATTCTGTTAGGGTTTGTAATCGTTAGATTAACTATCCCTGACGGTTACATGATGATATAACGGTTACAAAACCCAACAAAATGGTTCCGTGACGAGACCGTAGTATTTCCCGTATAATATTACAAATTTTGAGCCAACTTAATCATTAGACAGGATCGACTCTTTATCAAACAACATGCTGTTTTTTCAAAAACATGACATTTTTCAAACAAAAAATCTGTATATTAGAACCAACCAGTAAAATATGTAGTCATCTCTCTTTTTCTTTCTTAGCTCCATTTTAAATTTTTGTTTAATTTTCCCAGTACAAACAATATAGCTAGCTCTTTAGTTGATCTCTAATTGTTCTTCATTCTAACATGCACGGGAAAGCAAGCAAAGAAGTTTTGCAAGAGTTATCGACCCAGATATCAATATTTAATCGTCCCGTATAGATAGAGAAATAGTTGCATAGCTATCCAACTTGTGCTGCATTCTTTGTGTTAAGAACTTTAGATCGAACTTTTAGTCTTGAATTTGAGGCGAAGCTATCTTACCACTAAGACAAGTTTAGAAGCAACTATGCAGACAAATCGGGAGGAAGTATACGAGTTACTCAATTCCATTCATAATCAACAAGCTTCAATTTCTTCACATTCGCGTGCCTTCCCCAAAGCTCTCTTCATAAACGGCATATATCACTTGTTTTTCTGTGAACTTAAGGTAAAGGAACTTAGCTGTCAAGGCATTTTTTGTCCATTTATGAATCTTCAAAGGCAGGAAAACTTAAACAAGGTGAAAACTCAAGTAAACTGATGGATTACTTTTAAGACAACCTACGGATTGCGGATAAACACATTCACACTACGAAATATTGCTTTTCTTAACATGTGCAGTCCTAAATCATGTAAAAGAGTGCTTCATTTGGGAAAGCCAAGATTATAAGCAAAAGTGGTCATGATCCACAGTTTCTCGTTGCACTTTGCACTCAAGCCACTTAATTAAATTCACCATCTACCCAAATCGACTGAGCTGCGGGAAAGAATTAACTACATCTATATGCATTGTATTAAAATAAAATCAACATATAAGACAGATAACTACTAAACTCATTGAGTCCCCAAAATATATTGAACTTTCACTAAAGAATAAAAATGTAGCATCAGCCAAGGTCTCTCCTTCTCCAAGCTACGAGACAATCTATAAACATAATGAATAATGGGAAATATGGCAATTCTACATCACCACGCATGCATGATTCTAAAACAAGTAATTAGCTAAACTTGAAAACTACCATCTACACAGTTGTGGCTAGTATTTAATAATCTTGTAGATATTTTTTGTTTTCTCAACTCATCAATTTTATCATCTGGTTACATATTTTCACAGTCAAAGCGTTCAACACAAGCACATGTTATGAAACAATAAAAGGCCAATATATAATTGCTAAGTTGAATAGAATGAAAATATTCACAAACAATATCCTAGTAAAAGATTGCACCACATACCTTATCTTCTATCTTCAGGATTACTCATTACGTCACTTCCATGTCATTGTTAATTAAGGCACTATGGCCTGCATAGATGGCACAAATATCACAGTGATTTATAGTTTTTTCTTAAGGATACTGAACAAAATACATAAAACAAATCCGTATCGCTAGCAG